ATTGAATATTAAGGGATTTCAGAGAATTTTATGGTATTACATTTAATATATGCATCTTAAATTATTTTATTTTTTTTAAATAATTTTAAAATATAAAAATAATGCATTTTTGTTTTAAGCATTAATTAATTTATTTAAAAAAAAATGTAGTTACAGTATCTATATATTATATATAGAATATATTAGAATATTGAATCAGCCTTTGAGGTGTTTTTGTAATTAGTGTATTGATTTCAATGTCATTTAAATTGCTAATTGAACTGGTGAATCACAGAATATTAACCTTACAGTGACGTACCATGGTCCTTTTGTTCATTGTACCAATTTAGAAACTCCAATGGTGCTAATACTACTGTATTCTTTGAAGGTACACAGTATCGAATACCATAGTATTTATCAGATATTACCATCTATATGATATGACACTACTACATTACTATTTTGTAAGATAAAAAGTATTGGAAAATGACATTTTAGCTCTCTTTAGTGATCTTTGAGGGAGTCAGCGTTTCTTTGTAACGTTTCGTTGAATATCACGGTCGGGCTGAACATATATGCATGTATTTGCATATCTAATCAGTCTTAGAGGGCATTTAGTTGAACACGCTTTCACAGCTAATAACGCTCACTGCATGTCCTGTTTGTCTTTAAATAGTCTGTCGCTTTTAATTGGATTATTGATTCATGTGTTTCAAGGTGAACTAAACCTATGTGGTGTCAAGGACAGGTTATTGATGACATGATGGTTTTGGACACCGCTATTACTGTATGCTAATATCATGGTATTCTCTAGATAATGTGCTGGAAAATCCAGCCCAAAGAACAGATAGTTGGTTTTTATTTGCTCTAATGGTCTGGTGCATATTTCATTTATTTAAAAAAAAAATTATTTCATAATAGAGTGCAACAGGAAGGAAAAACGACTCTCCATTGGGAAATTTATCGTAAATGATTTTTAACGATTTTTTTAACGATAAATTCCACCAATCAGAGAGTCGAAAAATGCACAAAAATGCTCTTTAGCTCCGCCCACTCGCATGAAGCACCATAAATGACGTAATCTAGTCTCTCTACGTTCTCAAAATACTATATTTGAATTTAAAATGGATAATTATGTTTCTCCATCGTTTTTAATTTGATTATGCTGTAATTACGATTTTCAAGTAGTTTATTGCTTACAGGTGTTGAAAATTAGCACATGTGCTATTACACTTTAAACAATGCATCTGGTTCGTCCAATGTTATTGCTATGTCCATATTAAATAAATAAATAAATAAAATAAATAAATGATTGACTTTGTAGCTCGTTGGCCGGGTTCATAGCTTGTAACACTTTAATAAAGACTTTTTGTAAATCCCTGGAAAAAACGAATAGAAAAAAATAAGCATTGAAATTTCACTTTCCCAATTTTCCATTCAGTTTTCTATGAGTGTCCTGTGTTCTCTTTCTTATATTGTCTCTGGGGTTAGTCAGTAGTAATTAGAGTGTGTGTGTGTGTGTGTGTGTTCACTGATGTCCCCTCTGGCTTACTGACTCATGTGTGTGTGCTGCTCTGCACATCTGGGTGTTTCTTGGACTGTCCTTTTTCGTTTAAATCAGTGTGTCAGACTCTGGAGCCGTGACCATAGTGGACTGAGATCTCTGGGAAATGAGAATCCGGCTGCTTTTAACTGTCGCTGGCTTTACATAAGCTGCTCAGATGGACCCAGCTTCTCTACAGTGGTTTGAGATGGGAGACCACCTTAGACTGGTTTTGCCTTCAGAACTGGATTAATTCTGTGGTTGAATCACGCAGTCGCTGCAGATTTGTTCACATGATGTGAATCTCCTGTTCCAGAACATCCCTAAACTGCTCTATCAGATGGAGATCTGGTGACTGGAGGCCGTTTGAGTTTCAAGAAACCAGTGTGAGATGATTTGAGCTTTGTGACGTGTCCAATTTTGGACCAAAATGTGACTAACCCACTGATGTCACATGACGTCACACATCACTTTGATGATGTCTTTATTTCCTTTCTGGACAAGGACAGTATACCGTGCACACATTTACAATGAATGAAAGCTCTCGGACTAAATCTAAAATATCTTAAACTGTGTTCTGAAGATGAACGGAGGTCTGGTGTTTTAGTTTCGGGTGAGCTAACCCTTTAACGCTTGTCAATGCAGCGAGGCCAGACTCTGTACAGATGAAATGTACATGAATGTCTGGCGGGAGCAGAATCTAGAACGGTGTCGGATCGTGTCCTTGCTCAGGGAGTTTCCTGGAGCTTCGGCCAATCACTGAGCACTATTTAGCCAGTTTGTCTTAACTCCCGCCCCTTCTCTGCGCACTCCTCCTGGCCAGCACTAATGATACCCTGACCTCTGACCCGCCCCGGCACCCCCAGACACATCCTCAGAGACGAGCCAGGCAGAACTAGCCCAACTCTGAGCCAACAGGCTCCGCAGACGATAGCCGAGAGGATGGCAGCGATGAGATGGGATGAGACGGCGAGAGGAGAATCCGCTGTATCCACACAGAGAGCAAAATGACGAATTCTACCTGTTTATTTTTACTCGTTTTTTAGTGTTGTAACTTTTACACTGTTTTTACTACATCAGTAGGGATGGAGATCATAAAGAGTTTATCATTATTGGTTCTGATCCAATCGCTTTTTTTCAATCTGGGACCTGCGTTAAAAAAATTATATGATTTATTTACTTATTTTTAAAACTGATAAGAACCCGTTCTCAAGAACTTAATTGAAATATCGGCGAATTAATATTAAATACAAATATTAAATGGAAAACTTGCATTAAAAAAAAAAAACTTTAACAGAAATTAGAACGCTTGCTAACTGGCAACTAACTGAAAAATATTTAAAATGAGATTAAGCACTAAAATTACTAAAACTAAAATTTAAATAAAATAGATTAAAGCTAAATAAAATGAGTAAAACCGAAACGATTAAAAATGACAAAAGCACATCACAAACGTACTAAAACCTGCACTAGAAACTTAAAAAAAACTACTTTGAAATATTATATAAATAATAGTAAAATAACACTTTGTTTAGTTTAGTCACTTTGTCATGTTCCCCCATACACTGTAAAAAAAAATATCATGATTTGTTATAACGTTTTTTCTTCAGTCAAATCAACTTAGATAATTTATGTGGTTCAGATAACATAATATTTTGAGTTTCTGATTATTAAATCAATGTCCTTCATTGTATTTCAATGAACTTGAGGTTTTAAGGCAACCAGGTTACTTCATTTTTTAAGTTAAACCAACAATACTTTTTTCCAGTGTATATTTGAACACCTGAAGTACCTTGTTCACTAAGTAAATAAATTCAACTAGAAAAGTTTAAGACTAACTTTAACTACTTGTCAACCTTATCTAGAGGTTTAAAACAGTACGAAGGTATCAGAAGTATTAATTAATTAACATTTTTACACTGTAAAAAAATATTGCAGTTATTATTTATCGTAAATTAGAATTCAACATTAGAATAAGAAATAATGTGTTGTTTCAACTTTAAAAAGTATGTGTTTGTGCTTGACTTAAAATATTAAGTTTAGTTAAGTTTGATATTTAAGTTATCTCAACACATTTTAAATTGTAAGCTAATTGCAGCAACATTTTTTAACATCACTTAAACATTTGTTCAATTTAGTCCCCCTGTAGTTAATAATTTTAATCTTTGATCGCCAAAATTACATATTTATGAGGAAATACTCAGACTTATGAACTTACACATGGTGTGTGTTAAAGCGTATTAAAAACACCATATAGAGACATTAACAACAAAAGCTTGATTTTCACCACAGGGGGACTTTAACCAGTTATGACACACTGTAAAGATGGTGTCATGTGTATATTTACAGTAAAGCAGCTCTGATGAGGCATTTTAAGTCCTAAACTTTAATGAATGCTCATTACAAAGAAACCCTCTGGTATTATGTTGAAGAAAGACATAACCTTCGTGAATGTGTGTAGCATGTTGTTCGTGGCGCGGGGAGGCGGACAGCACTGACGTCTATGAAGGGTTTCCACAATAACAGAAGACACGTCCTGTCCGTCTCTCTCTCCCACACAGCCGTGACTCCGGCGAAAGCTAAATGGGCCATTTCCATGTAAATATGAGGCTTGTGTGTGGTTTAATTGCTATGGAGATGACTTGGGACGGACCGTGTGATTTAAGCGATCAGAACGAAGCATCAGGGAGGAGAAAGAAGGGGAAGAAGGGATAATGCTGGATGAACAGAAGTTGGAGGTGGAGAAGCTTGTGATTAATTAGGAGACTAGGAATAACCTTTTCTCTGTGTGTGTGTGTGTGTGTGTGTGTTTCAGGGGAAGAGGAATAAACCCGGAGTGGAGTCCGTCGGGTCTCCCGATTCAGGAAGAGGAAGAGGAGAGAAAAAAGCCATCAAGTAGGTGCAGGGACTCTCATTCGTTCAGTGGGGCTCTTGTTTTTAAGCGAAGCCTGGACATATGAAATCTGCGATCATAGGAACACTTCACTGTTTCTCCATAGACGAGTTTTAAATCTGAGAAATGTGTTTAAAATGAACATAGCAGCTAAAAAGATGAAAAAAAGTACTAATGGGAGTATCTTAGATGCATCAGTAATGTCAACAATATTAGAGAAATAATGTTACATGATAGCCCTGAGAATCTTAATTTGTACATTAATTTATTTATTTATATGTTTGAGGCAATTAAGTTAAAAAATAAGCTTGAAAAAAAGCACTGGAAGTTTCGTTCGTTTAGCATATTGACAAACATTGTTTTGTTTTTTTAGAATGATTGAAACACATTATTAATTATCAAAATAATTTCTGGATATCAGAAAAAGATCATCTGTGTATAGGAGCATAAATATATATATATATATATAATTAAAAATAATAGCATATCAGCAAAAAATATATCTATAAAAAATGTTGCTTTATTAATATTATATTATTAAAATAATTTTAAAAATGGCAAGAATCATATATTAAAAAATAATAATACAATTTCAGTAATAATAATTAAAATAGTTTATAAATATATACCTAATGCAATCTTTTACTGTTTTTATAATTCCCACAGCCTGAAAGTCAAGATTTCCTTTTTTTTAATCCTTTTCCTCCTTTTTTAAAATAATTAAAAAAATGGGAAGAATAATATATTAAAAAATAATAAAATAATACAATATCAGTAATAATAATTAAAATAGTTTATAAATATATACGCAATGCAATCTTTTACTGTTTTTAAAATTCAAGATTTCCTTTTTTAATTTCATTCACCATGAAGTTTTTTCAGTCTAGACTTGCTTTGAACACACACGGTTCGTCTGAATGACCGTTTTCCTCTGTTCTCGCTTCGTGACATCGCAGCTGCTGTGTTAGACTAATGCCTCCTCTGGATTTGAAGCTTGCAGGTGCTTGTGGAAATCAGATGTGCTCATTGCTGTTGTTGAAATAATCACTTGCCATAAATGACCTTTCCCCTCTATACCAGGTCCACCCGACCCGTTTCTCCTGACCTCTGACCTTTGCTGTCTCCCGAATGTTTCTTTTCTTAGCCACATGTGATTGGTTTGTCTCCAGGATTGTGTTTAATAACGTGTGATGCTTCACAGCTTTCTCTCCTCCCGCCTCTGATCTGTGATGAACTAATGACCTCACAGGTTTGACCCTGCTCGATTCCCTGTCTGATGATACAGCTCTTCCTCCTCCTGTCCTGAAGAAGAGGAGATCCCGGCCTGTGTGTGGATGAAATGGGTCGCTCATGTTGCACTGACGTGTGTGTGTGTGTGTGTGTGTGTGTCTCTTCAGTGATTTAGACAGAGACTTTTGGAATAACAATGACAGCAGTTCAGTGCAGCAGCGCTGGAGCTCATACCCGCCCAAGGAGTTTGTACTAAACATTTCTCCTTATGCCCCTTACGGAGATCCACGCCTCTCACTCAAGTGAGTCTCAGTTCAGGCTGGTAAGAGACACCAAACCCCTGACCCGCAACTCATTCCTCACCCCAACCCCAACCCTTCCCAAACGCAGAAATGTGTTCTGCAGGCTTTAATAGTCTTTCATTCACGGACAGCCGCCCACTTAGACAGGAAAACACCGTCGTACTGACGCACGCTGGAAACTGACCAAATACTTGATTTTTTTTTTTTTTTTTTGAAATTGATACCACGAAATTAAATGTTCCAGAAAATGATTTGTATGGTCGATAAACTTCAAGTTGCGTTTTATTTTAATGTTCAGAACAGAATCAGAGGCAAAACTGAAAGTAGGAACACTAAAGCAGAATGTTTCTGAACACATTTTATCATTTGGTTTTTATTTAGTTAATAATCGTTTCCTTTATCTGTCAACAGTTTCTCGATGACGCATGTATTTATGCGACTAACATCTAAAACGGCTAACTAGACACTTTTGTATCAATATGTTAAGTATTATATCGTTTTTAAAAAAATATTATATTATATAGTTTTTTTTTATGTTTATGTATGCGTGAATATATATATATTAATTATATTGCAAGTTACAATATTATGTGTATATATATATATATATATATATATATATATATATATATACAATATTATAAAACGGTTTGCTGAACTGTAATAATTTTTTTTCTAATTATATATATAAAAAAAATCATATACAATCATTACGTTGTGAGTTACAATATATATGATATTCTAAAATGGCTCGCCAAACAGTAATTAATCTTTTTTAATTACATATAATAATCAAATCCATCACATTGTTTTTTTTTAATTTTGTTTTTTTATTGCAAGTTAACGAAACATTATAATTTATACAAAAATAAGAGATCAGTGAATTATGTATACATACAAAAGAGAGAAAGACGTACATGGAGTACATACAAGGTAGGCAGAACAAAAATAAGTAAAGGAAAAGAAAAACAAAGACAAAAACATGTATGCAAGTACATTGGTATGTTTTAAGCAATGGGATATTTTAGAGATTTAGATAGAAGCAATTAACTCAACTTCTATCTACATCCATTACATTGTGAGTTTATATATATATATATATAGTAATTCACAATGTATTAAGAATATATAAAATAAATTATATATATATATATATATATATGTATAGGGTTAGGGTAATTTATATATATATATGTTTATATTACAGTTTGGCCAACCGTTTTAGAAGTTGCATAAAGCAATATATATCCAAACATATATAAAGTCTGTTAAAAACGAATGTTCTTCTCACTCTAACAATGCTGGGTTGTTTGAACCCAAATTTGGGTCAAATATGGACAAACCCAAATGTTGGGCTAAAAATGTAATTTCAAATTAACCCAACTTCAACTTTCACTTTCAACTGTACATTTTTAATGCAATTTTTCCATATTTGACCCAAATTTGGGTTGAAAAACCCCCGCGTTGTTTAGAGTGATTAGCATTGGTTGTGTGTGTGTGTGTGTGTGTGTCAGATGGCTAGTGAGCAGACTGTGGGCGTAGGCTAACACAACCCATATTTTACTGTACCTCATCTCACGTGTTCC